GGTTTTTCACAGATCTGCTTTCAGGAGTGTTCATCACAGCGGTGGTGGAGAGAGCAGGGAATGGAACAACGCTAATGCCCAAGGAGATGGAGGGGATCCATGGTCCCAGTCCTCATGATAGAATGCCCTGTAGCCACTGTCACATTGTCATTCGGAGCACAGGATCCTGGAAGCCCCTCCTGAGACCCCTCCTGCCACCCTGTTCCTGGGAACATTGAGAATTGTTTGAGGAGGGGATGGAGAGGATCCAGGATGACACCGGGTCCAAGGAGAAGGAAGGTCAGCACTGGGAGGACAGATGGACGTGCCCTGAGCCACCATCCAGGACCCAGGCTGTCATGCCCTCGGACCTCACCCCAAATAATGGCTCCTGAGGTACAGATCCAGCTTCTGTGGTTTCACTCCCTCCCTCCCTACGTCATTTATTCACTCATTCATTCCCCCCTCTCTCTCCTTCCCCTCCACTCCTCCCTTCCCTCCCCCACTCCCTCCCTCCCTGCCTCTCTGCCTCCCTCCCATCCTCCCTGCCTCCCTCCCTCCCCTCTACCCCTCCCATCCTCCCTTTCCTCCTGCCTTTCTCCCCTCCCCCTCCCCATCCTGCCTCCCTCCCATCCTCCCTTCCCTTCTCCCTCTCTCCCCTCCTTCTCTCCCATCGTCCCTCCCTCTCTCTTTCCCTCACTCCCATCCTCCCTCATTCAGCACAGGATCTGGGGTCCCTGCTGGGTACTGAGCACTGGGGCTTCATCAGTGAGCACCCCCCAACCCACATGGTCACGTCCACTGTGGGAGGTGATGGGGGGCAGTCCTCACGGCTAGCTCTGGCGATGAGCACTAGGAATCTGCTCCTGGAAACAGGCCAGTCGCACAAAGAAAAGAATGGAGAGACCCGTGTTTAGCACCTCCTCTAGAAAAATCTCGTCCTGAAAAGTGATGAAAAGTAAGTATGTCCTAGACTTCATGCCATGTGAGTTCTAATGGCAGGTATGCACTGATTCCTAGAACCAACAAAGAGTAAATCATCCAGTGTCAACTGGGGAGTTGTGACACAATTTTTCTGACCAAATGACAGCATTTCAGCCAACATCTCCAGGGCCTCCGAGTTTCCCCAAGGGTCTCTGTGATCCTTTGATCCTTCCATCGACCTCCTTGGGAAGCTCTGTCCTGTCCTCTTCCTTGTCTCCTGCCTCTTCTGAGACCCTTCTGTGGCTTCCCCCTCCCCCACTTGCCAGGGCCGCCCTCACCAGGATTCCCCATGCCCCTTGGCTGGGCGCCCGCATCCCACACTGAGCCCCATGAGCCCAGCGCCTTCTGCAAGGCCTGTGCGCTCCCTCTGGGGTCACTTGGCATCTCCCCTTACAGCGACCTGCATCGTCCTGTGCTGAGTCTCCTCTGAGCAGTCTGTGAGGCCGGCCTGTGCCCGTGTCACGGGAACAGAAGCGAGAGTCCAGATCGTCCAGACGACCCGCTCCCAGTCCCAGCGTGTGGAGCCTGGGCCAAGGATGGTCCACGAGCAGAGGAGGACTCGGACCCAGGGAGCCTGAGGGAGGATGTGGCACATTGAGCCCATAGGACGAGAGTGAGCAATGTGGGGGCCTGGTGCTCAGACCTGCTGGGAGACCACATTGCACTGACTCTGTCCACAGGGCTGGAGGTTTTCAGGGTATCCACCCTCCCATGCTGCAGGCTGGCAGTGACTGGCAGGGGAGGAGGCACCTGGTGCAGGATACACCCTCAGGCAGAGAGGAGGGGGCAGGCGCTCCCCCAGCAGTTGGAGGAACTCGGGATAGCCACTTTCCTAGGCTGCAGCCTGGCAGTGGCTGGCAGGAGAGGAGGCACCTGGTGTGAGAGAGAGCCCTCAGGCAGAGAGGAGGGGGCAGGCGCTCCCCCAGCAGCTGCAGGAACTCGGGGTAGCCACCCTCCCACCCTCCCAGGCTGCAGGCTGGCAGTGACTGGCAGGGGAGGAGGCACACCTCGTGCAGGAGAGAGCCCTCAGGCAGAGAGGAGGGGGCAGGCTCTCCCCCAGCAGCAGGTGCACTGGGTCGGGCTGAGGGGGCATCATTGGACAGCAGTGCCTGCAGCTGGGGTCTCCACACAGACCCCCTCCTCAGCCTCAGCACAAGCTTGTCCGGATGACCTTTGTCCCCCAAACACAAAGTCTGACCCAGGACCCCCCTCAAGCCCTGACTCCCAATCCTTTCTACTCAACTCAAGTGACAAGAAATGGCCAATAGTTTAGGTGGTGTTGGGTGCACAGGGACATTTGCTTTTCTGGCCCATGCTGTAACGTTGCTGGCATTTTAAAGATCTCAGGGCTTTGATTCAAAAACGGCAGGATGCCGGGGACCCCAGACAGCTTCCTGGAAACCTGCCTCTGGGCCTTGCAGCCCTCCCATCCCACCAGCGCTCAGAATCCCACCAGCTGCTCAGAATCCCTCCAAGCCACAGACCCACAGTCTTGAGTCCTCAGATGGCCCAGGCGACGTGCCTTCAAAAAGTGATCCCGGTGGGGCTGCAGGACACACTGCGGATTCCAGCAAATCCCCCTCCCAGAAAGTGAGGGTACCACTGGACAAACTGTCCAAAACCAGCCAGGTCAGGGTTCCAGGAAGACACCAGAGGCACAGGAGTAACTGAGGAGCATCTGAAGGCCAGGTAGGGACAGTGAGAACCTCTGGTGTTTTTGCCTAGGGGCAGCTCCGGTCCCCCTAAACCCTCAGTGGAATGGCTTTACTGGGGCACTGGGGGGGAACCATGCCTGGAGGACCCGTGGCTCCACTGTCCGAGGTCGCCGACTTGATCAGTGCGCAGGTGGGGAAAACCGGCCACACCCCGAAGAATTTCTAGAAACAGTAGCCATCTCAGTGGTAGCTGACCTGGGAGGTCAACCTTTCAGCTGCCTGAGGTGAGATCGAGCCACAGACCAGCACACTAGCCAGAAATGGAAGAAGGAGAGCCAGTTCTTCATTTCATAGTTTCTAAGTCACCGGTTTGTTCCTATGGTTAGTATATTTTGCATCCTGGGAAATCTCTGCCTGTCTAAGGTCTTGAAACTGTTCTCCTCATGTTCTCTGCTGGAGAGGTTCTTGCAAAATCTCTGGTTTATAGGTAAAAATCATCTGGAATTGACTTTGGTTGGCACACCCATGCTGGGAAAAGGATGAAGCTTCCCCAAAATACTAAAAAAAGAACTCCCGTATGATCCCACTATCAGGTAGACCTTTTCAGGAAATAAAGTCAGTTTCTCGAAGTAAGATCTGCATTCTCCCACCCAATCTCCCTGAGGAGGGGCGGCCACCCTTAGCGACCCTCCCCTTGAGGCAGGTGCCTCCCTGGACAAGGGGCTACCCCAGGGCTGGAAGGTCTCCACAGAAGCACATCCAATGTCCTGGATACTAGGAGACAGAGTACAGCACCAGGCCAGTGAGGGTTAGGACACACTACCCCAAATACGGCACCTTGGCAAAATAAATACAGAAGCTAAAAGAACTTTTGCATAGAGCAAAGCAAGAAGGTCTCTCTGACCCCCAGCCATCAGCCCTTTTTCCCTTAAGCAGGTCAGAAGACTGCCATGTGGAACTTTCTCTCCCCGGACCACAGAGATGACGTGCTTATCACCAGAGTCAAGGAATTTAGGACCACGGGGTCTATACACACACACCTGGTTAAACTAACCCTTATCTTCCTAGTTACTTCTTTACCGTTTACGAGCCCTAGTCCAAACCCCTGCGTCTGTCAATTCTTCACACACTTACTGCTTCTTTGTCTAAAAGGTAGAAGAGCTGTCTGCTCCAGTCACCTCTGCTGGTCTTCATGGTCTTGTGAGGCTCCCACCAAAGCAATCAATACATTTTGCTTGCTTTTCTCCTGTTCATCTGTCTTTGTCAATTTCCAGACTCAGCCGGGGACCTTAACAGGGTTGAGGAAACCTTTTTCCTCTCTTGCAGCCCTGTGGGGCAGGGGGTGGGGAGTCAGGAAAACCCATCCCATCTTCCTGGCTTTGGTTAAAACTGACCTCTGCTGGGAAGCAGCATAGGACTGTGCACGGCTGGGGGAGCCAGAGAGAGGCACGTGGAACATGTAGGAGCTACCTGACCCCCAGCCGGGGGACTTGGCCCCAGTGACAAGTCCAGGGTGTGATTATGAATATTATAATGGAAGCATCCTGAACATCAGACCTTCCCCACTCCAGGCTTCATGATTGCTGCTCGTTGTAGTTGCTACTGTTGGCTTAGTGACTTTTCTGAACTCACTTTGTCAAGTCTGTATTCTTTGCCGTGTGTGGCCACTGAATCCCTGTGCTGTTAACTCAGTGGTCAGCCAGTGGCTGGGCAGAGAGGTCACCCCTGTTTCCGAGCTATGGGCTACAGACTGGAAGTCCCCACAACCTCCTCTTCAGGTTTGAATAATCTGCTCCAGTGGCTCATGGAACTCAGAGAAACATGTTACTTACTAGATGACCAGTTCATTAAAAGGACAGAACTCAGAGCCAGGCAGCTGGAATCGATGAGCAGGGCAAGGTGTGTAGAAGAACCTCGGGGCTCCCCCGCTCTCTGAGTTAAAGAGGCCTTTGCCCACCTCCACTCTGACCTTCGTCTGTACTTCCTAACTGATGACGTCCTTCCTTCGGGCTCATCTGTTAACTCAAGTGAAAGACCTGGTGGGCACCAAAATGACTCCTCAAGTAATAACCACTGCTGATGTCCTGGTGATTCTTGGGCACAGCCATGAATCTCAGCTTCTTCATGATGGGGCGCAGCCCAGCAGCTGTGGATCCCACAGGTCCTCCAGGGGCAGCCCAGCAGCTGTGGGTCCCACAGGTCCTCTCGGGGACAGCCCAGCAGCTGAGGGTCCCACGGGTCCTCTGGGGACAGCACCTTAATGGGCTTATGGTCCAGCAAGTACCTGTTCAGGTGGCTCTCATTGTGCCACACAGCCTCAATCCCAGTGGCCAGGTTGACCCCCATTGCCTGGTGACAGGCCAAGGTCAGTTGGTCCTCTACCACCGACCCTGCAAAAAGGTCCTCATGTAGTAAAAGTCGCCCTTGTCCCTGGGGATGTGTGCCTGCGACTGTGGCCAATGCTCGTAGCTGAAGTCCTTGTGGGCTGCCTGGTAGAAACCGGGGTGCAGGGTGCCAAAGAGGGGGGACAGGATCTCCATACTCACGTGGTCGCAGAACTTCATATCCACCTCTGTGCATACCAGGTAGTCCACCTCACGGAGGAAGTGTGGAATTATTCTTAGAAAATATATTGTAAGCCCACAGGAGTGATTGTGGAAGCAGCTGAAAGGTCAACAGCGTTCCTGTTCTCAGACTATTGAACGCAAGGGCCCAGTAGGAGCAGGATCCCATGATCCCCAGGGGCAGGGCACAGGTTAGGAGCTAGGAAAGAATGTAACCCTCAGGTCCCCTTTCTGCACCTGGTGCTTGCTAGCACAAACATCCGACTTTCCCCTTATCCCATGACTGCCTCCCTGAGTGCCTGCCCCTAGGGGAGGGTGCAGGACTGCTTTACCGCTTCAGGATACTTGCCATCCCTTTGTCCTCCTTTCCCACGCTTTGAGGCAACTGCCCTTGATTTTCTGATAAAAAAATGAAATAAAAGCAGAGGCAGCCCTGCATGGTCACTCAGCTGCTGGGCTGCCCCCCATCATGAAGAAGCTGAGATTCATGGCTGCCCAAGAATCACACATGTTTCTCTGAGTTCCATGAGCCACTGGAGCAGATTATCCAAACCTGAAGAGGAGGTTGTGGGGACTTCCAACTCATGGCAGGTGGGGACAGAAACTTCAGGGGGTCAGCCAGGGGAGGGGACCTGCAGGGTTTGCCCGGGAGCTCAGCACAGGGGGAGTGTTCCTGGCTCCAACATGCTGACTGTGGGGCTGCATGGGTCACAGGGTCACCTATCCTAACCCTAACCCGTTCTTGCAACTTTCTTCTACATTTGAAATTACACCTAAATAAAAGGTTTAAGACGTCACGTGCATCGTCATGTGCGAGATCTGACCCCAGCGCCCTCAGCAGCTCAGCGTTAAGAGAACGAGAGGCCTCCCTTCCTGTCCCTGGAAGAAGACACCTGGAATCACCCGAAGGAGGGAAAGCAGGGCTGGGGAAGAGGAGAGCGACCCATTTTTACCGCACATCCTCTGGTGCCGCGTGACTGTCTTACGTGTGCGTGAGCAAATCAATCAGGAAAATGAAAACGCAGAAACTCGCGGGAGGAACCCTTCTGCACCCACAAGGGGAGCAGCATCCTCAGGGACACGGCCTATCCTTCAGCTCCATGCTCGCTCCGCCTCCGCCCGCCTCCCTCCTGGGCAGCCCAGCCGCGTGCCTCACGCGCCACCTGCTGGCGGAGCGGGCCACTGCGGCCGAGGCGCGCCAGCCCTCCGTGCCACCCTGGCACCCACCCTCCACCATGCGTGATCTCGTGACCGCGGCCACATACCACCTTCTGGAGAGCCCCCGCAGCCAGCAAGATGCCCAATGCAGCGTGGCACTCCGCAAAGATGAGACGTACCGAGGAAAGGACGCAGCTTCGAGGGGAAGCCCAGCAAATGGACCTGGAGGCGAGCACCCGCCTCAGAGCCTGGTGGCAGAGCGGCCCCGCGGCCATGGTGACCCCCGAGAACCACACTGCTGACTGTACGGCCCCCTGCTGGCCCGCCCACCCCAGCCCCGCCTGCGCTCCCGGGGTGTTCACAGCCTATCCCACACTTTACACCAAGGAAGGTGTAAAGTCAGCAGCACTCAGGACCCCGGTCACCAGCTCTGTGTCCCCACGAAGACTCTGAAAAGCAGGGACACCAAGCTGGCCAGTCCTGTGGAGCAAACCAGTTCAGCCCCAAGAAGCCAAAGGAGTTCAATCGGAGCATTAAAAAATAGAACAGAACAGAAAATACCGGATCAATGGCCCCGGAAGCCCATGACCAACACACAGCTGAAGTAAACCTCAAGGACAAACGGCTCATCTCTGTGACTCGCGCAGGACGGCACAAACACATCGCCCTCTGACAAAGTAAACCACACGTGGGGGCGCAGGTGCACGTGCCTTCCGCCGGCGAGGGACTCACCAAGGTCTGTGTTCAGGCCGGCAAGGAGCTGCTTGAACTTGTCGAGCCGGGAGGCCTCTCGTTCACTTAACGCTGAGCTGCTGAGGGCGCTGGGGTCAGACGTGCCACCCACGGCGGCCGCCACCGAGTGCGGGAGAGACTGGGACCACTGCAGAGGAGCAGTGTCGCCGGCGCTGTCTGGGGAGAGAGCGCGCAGGGGGTGAGGATGGCCTCCTGGACCCCCCCCCCCATGGCCCTGTTCCCCAGTAAGAAGGCTCCCACCCGCGCCACCTGCCCTTCGGGAACGCCACCGTGCCACAGCCATCCCCTCCTCCCGTAACCGGCCAGTGCAGACCCGCGTGACCGGGGCAATAAAGTGAAACTAGTGAACACCCAAGAAGCCCACTGGCCTTACTGGTAGAGCGTTACTCCATGGGAAAACAGACGTGCCTCACACAAAAGCAAAACGACAACCAGAAAACTCCAGACCCCCCCGGCTCCCCCACTGCTAGCAGGCCTGCCCAGGTGACACAACCCAAGGATCTGCTGGTGCCTGTGGGGCTCACCTGGGCCTGAGCACAGAAGGAAGCCACCGAGCCACACGTGGAGGAGCATGAAGCCCACAAAGGCACTGCACCCCTTGGATCTCCCCAAGCCCCATGAGGGAGGCGGGCAGGGACCATCACCAAGAGAAAGCACAGGAAGCTAGAGCGCATGCAAGCAGGGGAGGGGCAGCAGGTTGCAGGCCTGCCCAGCACCCCCCGCCCCAGGGCACCACCTACCACCACGCACAAAGGCCCACAGACAGGGACACACAGGGCCGAAGTGAAACCGTGCGTTAAATCCAGGAACCCAGAACAGGAAGAGCCACAGAAAAGAGCCCAAGGCCCAACACCCACTCAGAAAGAGCCACCAGGGACCAACGAGGGGCCCACAGGAACAGGCAGCACCAGGCTGTACACCCCCAGGTCTAAATACCCTTGAATGGTCACATCTCCCAGAACTGAAATTTAAAGTAGAGGAAAAAACCAACTCCAGGAGATGGGGCGGGAACCAAACAAAGTGAAGAAAACATGCCGGCTCCTGGCCGCCGCTATCAGACTCCCACCGACCCCCTCCTTCCCGCAGAGCTGACTCATTACCCTAAAATCGAGGCCCGGAAAGGCTTCACACAGAAACCCTCAGGCTACAGAGGAGCAGTGTCTGGCCCAGTTAAGCTTCCAGAAAAGCCTGTAGAGGTGGGCGTCGAGGGGAGAGAAAGTCCCAGCCCCTCCGCAGGGCTGACCCCTCGCTTGCAGGAGGTGTCCCCACCGGCCTGCCCTCCGGGAGGCCCGGGGCAGCGATGCTCAGACCCCCTCCTCCCCGCCCTCGGAATCTGCCACTCCACTGTGCGTCATGATTCCTCAGGAAAGACGATGGGCGGGAGGAGGGATTCCTCGTTCTAACGCGGAACCAAACGTGCTGAGTTTTACTTCTCCGCCATCTTAGAGAGCATCCCTGTGACTTACTCCGACATGTAAGGACCACGTCGTCCTGAGCAGAGCACACATCCGGTCCCCCTCTAAGATGGGACGGGCAGGGTTTGCAAGGCACAGTGAAGCCCCCTGCCCCCCGAGGAAGCAGGAAGGTCAACAGCAGGTCTCCCTGCTACTGTAAGTGGAAAACACATCAGTGTCCCCCTCCGGGGCAGCCAGTGTCCACCCAGGACCCACTTGCAGCTCAGTCCCCATCAGCGATGGACAGTCCTCCCCAGCCACGCCCACTGAGCCCTTCGCAGCCAAAGGCGCAGGCTCCCCATTACGCCAGCGGCACCCTAGACCAAGCAGAGGGCATCTGACTTCAGATACAAAGGTACAGATACCTCAGACGCTGATTAAGAAAGTCAGGACAGTCGAAAGGTAAGCAGGAGGCGCGGGGAAGGCCAGCCGGAGACCCCTGCTGCAGCATCCCGGAACTTTCAGGCTGCCATCTACCCAGGGCTGAAGGCCAAAGGCGAGGGCAGCCAGCAGGCCCTGTGGACGCTGCGTGGGGTGACGTGAGCTCCCACGGTGGCGCACCATAAAGGGACAGGCACCGACACAATGCCGGCAGTGGGAAGGGCAGGCAGCACTCTGATCACACTGGGCCCCGTGAAACACAGCGTCCAGGCCCCAGAAACACAACTCCGCTCCGAGGAGCACAGTCACATGAAATGGCACTCACAGGTCCCTCACCTCAACAGAGGCCTGGCCTGGCCCTGGGCCGTGGGGCCGGTGCAGGGACAAGAGTGGGGCAGAACATGGAGGAGGGGAGAGCCCGCGGTCACCAGGCCCTGAAGACACCTCAGTTTAGCTCAGCAACATTCACGTAATGACACAGGACCCCAAAGGGAAACAAAGGTAATGGGGCATGGTCCCTGCCTTGGGGGAACTTGCAAACCACGTAGATGAGGTGTGCAGTCAGCCAGCCCAGCCCACCCGGCACCTCCCCTCAGCTGGGATGGCCCCACCTCCTAAGCCTGGAGCCTCACCCTACCGGTAACCTTAGAGACATCACCTCCTCCGTGAAGCCTTCCCTGACACGTCCTGGCCCTCCCCAACAAGACTGAACTGGGACTTCTACCCCTGGGTGCTTCTGGGTCCTGTCCATCACTCCAAGGCTCCATTCCACCCAGGGAGGTGAAAGACTCAGATCCTTGTGTTTCCCCACTAGACTGCCTGCCAGTCAACACATCTGCGCCGGGCCCAGCCCAGTAAGAATGAGGGCTGACGTGGTCGTCTTAGCGCCAACACCGAGTAAGCCAGCCCCACGACTAACAGCCCACCAAGGGAACTGAACACAGGCCCACGAGTTCTGCGCACCACTGCCAGCCACCCGTGGGGTCGGCTCCCTGAGAGGCCACCTCGGGCTCCAGAGCGGCCCTCTCCCCCTTGGCACTGTGCACGGTCGGGCCAGAGAGTCCCCTGGGGGCCAGGCACCCTGGTCTCTGCCCACTTCATGCCAGGAGCACACACTCCCTGCCCCAGATGTTAACAGGAAAGGTCCTAACACAGGACCTCATGTCCCCTGGGGGCGGCATCACCAGCGAAGAGGCCCTGCTCTCTGTGGGGAGGTCAGCAGCTAGCAGCAGGCCCTGGCCTCAGACGCCCTGG